CAGATTGCTTAGAAAATGTGTTTTCTGTTTACTTTCTGTTTGCTTGCGCTCTCTCCAGCCTTGCAGCCAAGGGATAGTCACTGGTTAGTAACCATGTTTTTTTCTGAATCTCTACGCACTTGAAGGACTTAAAGGTCAAGGGAGTGGATGATAACCACTGTTTGAAACATAGGGAGGGTGCCGTTTCTGGGGGTGGGAACTCCCAAAGCTCTAAATCCTCCCCTTCAAGCACAACTGGTCCAAAGCCTTCGCCCAGGCTGTAGCTAGCGACGCCGTAGTTGTACGTCAGCTCCAATGCAAAATGCTCGTCTTCCGGGCCATAACCTGCCCAGCCGCCAAAAGTGCCAACGAGGAGACGTTTTAAGATTCTCTCTCTGGAATTTCTTGCCAAACTGCGGATCTTTCAGTGAAGCAAGCGCTGACATGGGGGTGGGGGATACTAGTAGCAACTCGATAAGGTGGCTCAAGCCTCATCTCTCTGAACAAAATGTGTACTCGTGTCCTCAGCTTGCTTGCGTTGGCAACTTCCCTGAGCACCCTTTGATTCCACAAGTCCAGAAGGCAACAGTAGCAAAAGCTAGTGTCCACACGACGTGGCTTTTCATCCTCCTCTGCTTTGGCACTGGCTGAAATTTCGTTGACACATGAGGCCTCCGGCCTCGTTGCTCTGATGCCAAGGCCCAGCAAGGCAACAACCCAGCATCTACCCCACATCAAAACAAGCAGAACCCACCTGCCCACCAAAACACGAGGCCGGAGGGACGCAAAGACTGACATCCAAAGGGCCAATTCGCAGGAATTCAAGCCTTCAGCCGGGTCAAGCAGAATGCTCCGGCATAGGACATCTAATGCATACGCAACCGTTTCTCCCATCCAGGTTCCCAAGCCAACGTGCTTTCAACCAGGCCTACCATAGTCTTGGACCAGGACGTGCTGAAGTTGCCATTGCAGGTGATGGGGCAGGCTTCCTCGTTCTCCTCATGTCGCAGCACCTGACCAACCCGCAGCCCCAACAAACAGGGGTGCCCGGGCAAAGGAAACAGCCACAAAGCCCAGGAAATAACGCGGACAATGACGTTTGAGAGCGGGCTTCCATTCTAGAGGGGGTTCCTTGGGCTAGCTCGGGCCCATGGCATGCCCTGCTTTTGGAGAAGCATGTCTGCTTCAATCCTGCTTCGGGAACCTCAGGCTGTGCCAACTGAGTCGGCACTTCCCAAGCCTCGCAACGATCACATGCCCTGCCTGCATGCCCAGCACATTCCTAGGATCCAGGCACGGAAGGCACACACTTCCAAACATAGAGGTCTTGGCGTGTCTTTTAATTAATTCTACCCTTTGTGGGGTGTGACTTAGGACCAAAAGGAGAAAAGCCATTTGAACAGCTCTCCGCATGGTCTGGATGGTGAACGTATCTCTGTCATCCTTGGGATTTGCACTTTTCCCGGGCGCTGTTGTCAGCCAAAGCTCTTGCCAACTTGAGTGCTGAAACCATGATGGCTGATTCTCGATGGGATAGCTTGGGTGTTGGACGTCCACTTACGACAAAAACCATCTGAAATAGATCTACTGATCTACGGTGTACTTTGGGAACTAGGTGAAGCCAAGCTGCATGCGGGCACTAGGTGAAACAAACCCGGACATGGAAGAGCCCTGCGAAACCTACCCTCTTCCCAACAATCATGGAAGTTTACACGACACCTTCTTAAGCTCAAGGGGTGTGGGGAAAAAACAGCAATCCCCTCTTGCTTTCCCTTGAGTAAATACACAGAATATAGGCTACGTAGCTCACAGAAAAGCGGGTACCCAGGGTGTCCAGCGCTGCATCAAACAAACCAAGGCTCTGTGTGAAGTCCAGCGTCCTGCAATGGCCGTTGTGCGACACAAGAAGAGCCACGGGCGAATAACATGCAGTGGCATGTCTGAAAAACCCTGCTTGCACCTTTCCAAAAGCATGTCCTTTGGAGGGACGAGCTTCGGATCACCCAGTGCAGCGGCCGCACCTTCTGCGAAGCGCTCACGGCCAGCAGAAGCGGTGTCCATGGCCGCATGGGACAGCTGATCCAAGTGAGCGACCGCTGCTCCCTTCTTGCATGTTTTGAGGCATGTTTTAAGAGTGTACCTCCCCCCAGCTCAGATTGATCATTGCCCTTCAAGCAGATTAATCAAAACAGCCAGCGCAGTGCAACTCTTTCAGGAAGTATCGGCTGACTCCAACGGGGTCCATGCTCAATTCTGCATTGCAAGCAGGCAAGGCCCTGGGTCTACAGTGCTGTTGCTGCATTTTGCTTTTCATGCTTTGTCGGCTCAAAAATCCAAACGTGACCGACAAGCAGAACATTCGACTGCGATTGGAAGCTGCCATCATCGCATATGAAATTTCCGAGGGCCAATTCGCCAGCTCAGAGGCAAACTCCGGCCAGCGGCAAAAATTGCGCTTAAGGCTCTGAATCGGGGAGAGAGAGAGGCACAATCCCTTGGGGAAAACTTAAACCATCCAGAATTGATTGGGTTGGAGCGAAACGCCAAAAGAGCTTCGGCCCTCAAGCCCTGCATGGCGCTGCCAAACGCAGGACCCGTCGTGCCTCTACCTTGGCGTCAAAGTCTTGCCTGAGCGCATTCACCTGCTGATTTCAGCATATTTCGGCCAGTGGCTTACTAGTACGACATATAACTGCCTTGCAACTTGTTTGGGGCGACACGAATTCTCAGATTGTGACAAGCTGTAAGCGACTCTGCGCCTCTACGAGGTCTGCTTGACGGACGCGCGGATGTTCCGGTCCCTTCTTCTCAGGCTTCCGAGGCTGTGGCATTTGCTGCAAGTCTTCAGCCCTGGACCTGAGGCAAATCAGCTTGTCCTGTGCAGCTAGGTCCGATGCACTTGGCACAAGCAAGCACTCAGAACAAAGAAAATATATTGCTGCGACTGTGCAGCCTCTTCTCCCTGTGGCGCACGACTATGCGGATATCCGCCAGGTCAAAACAATCAGCAAACACGGGGCAAGCAAACTGCAAGTTCACCAAAAGGGTTGCATCCTGCAGGGTTTCTGACTTGACACCCCCAATCGCATCTGAGGCAGCTGCGGAACCTCCTGAACAAACGAAGCTTGGCCCTGGCATTGATGAGCTGGAAACTTTCCATTCAGCTCTTAGGCATTATTAGATAGGAAGGGGGGCTTGGTGGGGGGTTGAATCCCATGAGCTTCCCGCAGCAGGAGGGGTAGAACGCATTTGGCTCGAGCATGACTCCATGCCTTGTCTCTTCTATGAACAGGTTCCACATAAGCGGCGTGGCATATGGAACGAGTGACATGAAACCGCGCACCTAGTTCAGCAAAGCAATGCCTACCGAATCGCGTTGCCGAGTCCCCACATGGGTCCCATTGTCTGCGTACCGCTTTTGGTCAACCATTGGGGCAACCCTGCGTGGTTGACTTATAGCTTTCGTGAAGGGAGGAATGGACTCCTGCTCTAAAAACTACTCTTCGTGTTGCAGAGACAATTTCGGCTTGCAAGGCGTTGCTGTGACCCATTGTTTCTGGCAAGCATGTGTCCCCGTTCCCAAGCCGAGTTACACTTTGCAGCGACAATCGTAGATGTGAACGGCCTTTCCCGAGCAGAAGGAAGCGAGAGCTTGGCATTTGACTTGGGATTCCAAACCCAGCCTCGTCGTTCTTTTGCCGACGCCTTAGCTCCCACAGAACGCTCCTAGGCCCCAGTTCCGGGATCAGCCTCCATCCCAGCACACAACGATTAATTGCCCACCAATGCTTCAAGTCAGCAACCTCAAGACGGCAGCCTGAGTATGACGCAAGTATGTTCTTGTGGGTGTTTGAACCGTGTTAATATCGCGCCATGATCTATACTCTCACCTGCGTAGAGTCTGATATCCCAACATCTAGCTGTCCTTCCCATTCTTCCCCCAGCATCCCTGTGTATGGACAATAGCCGAAAACCCGTAAAATCGCGGCTTCGTGCCAAGTGCACGGCACCAGCTCCATCAAGCTGTCCACCTGCCATGCTCGGGCGATGGGAGGGTCTGGATTGATAACTCCTCGTGTGCTTTTTCTGACATGGCTCCATGTGTTTCCAAAGTCGTTCTGCTGAGGCTGGTGGCTTGGCACATCTGGGCTGCCCTTCAGGTTTGGGGATGCCAATTTTCAGCACTAAAGGCCTCCTACCCGGCCTTGTTTTGAACCAGCAGCTGCTGCCGGGCCAGCAGGCGCACGGCAAGGACATCCTGCATGCCCAGTTCACATGAACTGCTCGAAGCTGCAACTGCCAACCCTTGCAAAATGCGGCGTGTCTTGTAAAATGCTCAGCTGTTGCAACTTCTTCTTTTTCAAGTGCCATCAATGGCCATGCAAAGCTGCTCATAGGTTTGGTCGTGGCTCTGGCACCCAGGCAAGAGGTCAAGACTGGAGTGCGAGATAGTGCGAGTCAAGACTACGGCTCAAAGAAGGCCAACATGACACCAATAACACAAGAAAGGATCAGAAGAACACTGAGCAGAATATCCCTCTCTCCGACGCTCTCTCTCGATCCGTATCTGCTTGTTTTTTTTTTTTTGGGTTTTTAGCTGGTTCAAAAGAACAACGCTCCCTTCCAAGGGCCTGCAGCAGCTGGAACTTCTGGACCTCCTCTTCTGATGGAGCCTCTGCGCCCTGCCTGAGGCTCAAGGGAAACCAAAGGGACACCACCCGCCGTGCTTCATTGCCAGACAAACGCAAAAGCCCATAGGTCCTGCCAAGCAGCTGGAACTTCACATCTTCAAAACTGAATCACATGGCATGGCAGTCGTTCAGTCGAATGACCAGGCAGGGGGACAGGAAAAAGTCAGTACCTACAAAAGAAGCCATCTTGCACCCAACCCAAGGTGCAGCACAGCACCCACAACCGTCTGGGCTCGTCTAAGTGGGGAACCTTTAGTGTGCTTGAAGCCGGTTCCCCTAGAGATACTTTGTCTAGAAAAAAACGATACTAGGAGCTGGGCAGGTGCTGGTTCAACAGCATCTTCTCAAGAAGCCGGCCATACCTACAAATCGCGGCTCTCTACTTCGCATGCTCCTGAGCATGTGCCCAGCCAAACCCTTGCACCTCACAGACTCATGATTCGAGTCCTCTGACTGGGGCCCCCTGCTCATCTGCAGCCGCCCTGATGTCCTCGCCACAAGACGTTGGACATGCAAAAGCATGCATCATGTCTTCATGCATGTTCACCTGGTTGGCCTCAACGCGTCTTCTCCAACCAATGAATCTTCATCATGCGGCTTTCTCCTGGTGGATGCACACCTCCTGGTCCACGGACACCATTGCTCGGTACAAGCGAGCCGCCTGTGGAATGACACGACGGCAGTCGACGAAAGAGGGCCGCTGGAGAAAAGACGTCGCAAACACTCGACCTCACATCAAGACCGTATCCAGCTTTAAGCGGGGCAAGTGGGGCAGTGAAAACAAATGCACATCCTGTGTCCGGCCCTTGTGGCGCTACTTATGTGGAAGAACCACGCGGGCAATACCAAACACTTGGACACAAGCAGGACCCCTTCAGAACTACAGCCTGATTCATCCGAGGTCACGCTGTCAGTTTTTGCTGCTTGTCCAAATGGCCATGAGCGTTCCTTCGACTTTTACCTAAGCTCGGCTTTGAGGCCAAAGGGCCTGGGCAGCTGCTGCGGCCTGTGCTGCCAGCATGTGCCTTGTGCCGGCGCATGTGAAACTGCAAGAAAGCTGGCGCGGACTGTTGGTATGGGCACCGGGCGGTTGATTGCATGCTAGCTGCTAGCAGGGGCCTGTCATACATACTAATTGTAAACAAATTAGCAAGGATGGATAGTCCATGCCAGCGGCCAATATAATCTTCTCACTAATTACATGGTGAACCTGTTTTATCGCGGTTCCTGTGACCGCTAAGTGATACCGCACACAGGATCACACAGGCCACCGGCAACATGATCTTCGACACGGACAGGTAGGTGGGCTGGCAAAAACAATCAAAACTTGGCTGACTATCAGCTGGTGTCACTTCAGGGTTGTCGAGTCAGTGATGGGTGAGCTACCCCGATCGGTGACGGTGAGCTTGATACAAGTCCTGAAAAAGAGTTGGGCACCTCGGGGCATCACTCTCATCAGCCGAGGTGCATTCCAGCACAGTCGCTAAGCAGCCAAACAGAAATTCAGCCAAACCAAATTCTCAAGCAAGCGACACTTGTATCAACGGGAATTCCCACATAGCTTCGATTGAGCAACACCTTTTCTTCTGTTTGTTCTCTCTTTTTTTTTGGGGGGGGGGGGTTGGGACCAGCAGGGTAGCTCCCCCATCAGCTATTGTCTATCATGTTGCCATACCCTCACCCTTTTCGCACTGGGCCCGAAGCATGACCTGGGAGTGTGTCAGCACAACTGCTGCCGCCTTCCAGGAAATTGGCAGGCTCGATAGGGCGGAGGTCGACAAAATCAGGCAACAAGGCGGTAACATGTTCATCTAGTAAGCTCTTTAAATGACAACAGCAATTTGACGCGCGCGCCCATATCAACTTGTACGTAAACATACCCCCCACTTTACGGCATGGATTGGGCAAAGGATCTACAATGATGCCAAATTGTTCTACAGTAACGGGGCTATGTGGATCAATTCATCAGTCGAAGACCTGACTCAATGACTACAACGTAATGTTATTGCTTGCAGCTAATGGATACTATTTCTGGAAAACAGGCAACGCAATCGCGTCGAATTGTTATGGGCGTGCCCCTCGAGGGTTCAATCAAGTCTCGCCAGCAAAACACAATCTCCGCAAATATGAACTGACCAAAACCCAAGAAGACACCACCCAGCCCAGCAGTCAAAACAGGCAGACTATGATGGTCATGCAAGGCTTGCCTCTACACAACCATAGTTTTAGACATCACCATTTGTTGAGACCCTGGACAATGCCCAAACCAAGCTATATCAAATCCTAAACATGATGTCCACTGTGTAGAAAATGCAAAGGCAGATGCGAATATGTGGCTATCCAATAATGCCTCCGTGCCACCTGGAATTGCAATGGGTGACGGTGCTTTTTCAAGGCCGCTCCTTGATCTGAAATCACAGCATGCTCCCGACCCCTAACCCCCAACCCCACCACTGTCACGACAGCGCTTTGTGTCTTCGAGCTTGTAGGGCGAGGCAAGGCTGAAAAGTTTTGTTGGCACCAAATTGCTTCTGAGCATCCCTGAATCATCCGGACGCAAGAGCCAACACAGCTGGACCCCAAAACATACCTGACATCCCCAGCCTTGCGTCGGGTGCATCCCCAGCATCTTGCCGGGGAATGCTTGCTATCAGCGAAGTCGCCATTATGCGGAAAACATCGCAAACATCAAGTTGTGTGATAACGTTTCGCAGGTTTTTCGTAGGGCTGAGGGTGGATGCACTGTCTTCGTCTGATTGCCGCCTGCCCGCCCGCGCACGCATGCGCGCATACACAGCTGGGGTGGGCATGAGGGCGGCGAGGTGGGAACAAGGCGACCATCCTTCACCAGCCACAAAAAAATGAACATGCAAAGGTCGGCTTTTCGCACACGAATCAAGAGGGGCCCACCTATTCACCCTGACTCCGCATTTCCAACAAATGGGCCCCTCCGGTCAACCAGTGCAGCTGGTGGTGCAGCCCTGGGATACCGCCATTGTGCAGCCTTTGTCCCACAAGAAACCTACGGAAGAAGGGTTAGTACAGCTGTAAGTTGGGCGGGCAATACCTGCGATCAGACCCGCCAGTTGCTCATCGCCTCCAGTGTAGCCACTTCAAACCGCAGGAACAGCGTCTGGTCCTGATGGCTCGCCCAACTTTTGCACATGCCCTTGGACGCTTGGATGGGCTCGTGGAAACCTCCAAAATTGCTCGGCTGCCCGTTGGCTGCAACAAGAAGTTGATCATCCTTGCAAGCCAGTCAGAGACTGCTCCATCAGAGTTGTTGGAATTGCCCACGTTTGTGATAGAACTGGTGGCAAATCATCAAGGGCTCCCTTGCACTGCTTAAGGCAAAAGCCTAAACGCTGCAGAAACGCTGCAAGCTTGACGCTTCTTTAGAGCAACCTATATAGTCAAGACATGTGGCAAAACAACACACAATGAGAACCTTTGCTGCGTTGGTTCAGGGACGCTGGCTATCTTGGTTAAAGCCAGTTGCCTACTTGCCCTGTGCTTGGCTATGCAAAGCTCAGCCATGACTGCTGGGTTTGTTGCATGTGTCCAAGAGCCAGGTAGCAAGCAACACAACAAAACGCTGCTCGCTTGTTCAACAAAGCTCACTTCATCAAGCCACATTGCGAGTGCGAGCGTGGACCGGGCCAAGTACAAAGCCAATAGATTCTGAAGCCCATGAGTCGCTTGGCAACCAAGAAACATCTCCCGTGCACATCTGAGGCTGCTTCGCTCGGAACATGCGCCAGCTGCAAGCGCGCACTGGTCGGACCTTGGCGATGAGCAAAACAGCACATATTCCGAAACGTCCAGTAGGCCAGGCGAGACTTCGCAGCACGCTCTGCCAGACAAGCATGGTGAGACACCCATGGGTGCTAGTTAGAGCGCTCCATACGCTTGCATCTCACAACCGGCAAGGCCTGTGACTGAACTGCAAAGGAAGAAAGGAGAACTTGCACTGACAGTGGCAAAGCGAAGAGTAGGCAATTTGGCACCTGTTGCCACAGTTGTGCTCTACTCCATGAGATTTATCTCACTGGTTCCGATGCCCGTGCCTACTTTGTTCAGCTGTTTGGTTAGGGGTTGTCTCTGGTTGGGATACTGTGGAACAACACAACATGCCCATCCCTGCGCGGTGTCCTTTTGGGCAAAGTGGGAATCAACATGCTGGGCTACCTAGCACGGAACAAAGAAAAAAGGGAAGAAGCAACAAAAACAAAAAGATCTGGTGCACGCTTTCTCGGATTGTCAAATGCTGAAGCCACTGCCCGACTCAGCACCAAGGGCAGGACTTAGAACATAGCCTGGCAAAGCGCTCTCGCGTCACCACTTACAGGTGCTCACCTACTTCTGCAACTTGAGTGGATCCGGTAAAGAACTGCGAATGCCGGTTGTGGTGGAGCATTTTGGCACCATTGCTGTGCTGAATCCCTCACAGCACACCGACAAGTGAAAAGCGGATGCCCTGCTCGATTATAGCTCATGCCGCATCTGAAAGTGTGGCGTCGCAGGATTCTTGATGTTAAGCACCAAGCCACCGGGACAAAGCAAAACAAAAACGACAGCAACATATGCAAAGGGACAAACTGTTGCGCATGTTTGAAGGTCAAAGGACAGGGACACGGGAACAAATATATCCACATGATTGATACCGGAGGTTCCTAATGCACAGGGGCAAGCAACCAACAAATCCGCAGCTTTGGAGCTTTGAACTTTCACCTCATGTTCATTCATTCAACAGGTGAACTTCCAGCATATGAGTTGACAGCTATACTATACTGTTTGAAGGCTTGAACCTTTTTGAGGTCCCTTGCCGGTCGATGATTTGTTCGACTTATGCCACAAAAAACTTACTCGGTCCAAATCCTTCCTGCGTCGAGGAACAGTTGATGACATGCTCGAGACAAGCCGCAGCTGTCCATGGGTTCACCCATCAGAGAAAAAAGGCTGCCAGCCCCCGCTCCCTCCTCCCCGCGAGCTGGCCGATGCAAGCACGGCCAAGTCTGGCCGGGTGCGAGGCGGGAGCGGTGCGAAACGAACGTTGGGTGAATCTCCCGAAATCCGAGTCGCCGACAGCTAGCTGACATACAAAACCCAGAAGTTCAGCCAAACTACGCGCATCAAAACCGCTCCACATGAAAAGCTGCCAAGCCCGATGTTTCGTCCGCGAGTCGCGTCTACGGCGAGGGCTAGCAGCCACGCTAGCAGCCGCGCGCACTCCGGGCTGCAAGCCCTCGCGTGTGGCAGGCGCTGTGGCTGCCAAAAGGCAACTCACAGCACTCTGTCAGCACACACATCTAGTGTTTACAAAGGAGATGTTTGACATCCTCCGTCACCGCATAAGCTACCACAATAGCGACAAGCTCTGGCGACAGTGTGAAATTAAACTGGCGCCTGGGAACCCAACCTTCCTGCGTAGAACTTGTGGGCTGAAACCTGTGTATGAGGAAGGTTTGGACTGACACGCGCAAAGAAATGGCAGGCATTGACCTGCCTCAAGTCCAAGCTGAACTTACAATCAACTTGCTCCATGCCCGGCACGTGGAGCGGCTTCAATATGTGAGGGGCTGACCAGGCATTGCAACAACTAGCTCAGCTAGTTTCTTCCCCCGTTTCCAGTGCTCGCCCCTCAGGCGATGCACTGTCAGCAAAATCCCCTCAGACGAAACCGCATAGTGCTGACCTTCAAAGTCCTGAGGACCTATAAGCTGGCCGTCTTTTTGTTTTTGCTTCTCTCTGAGAGCCCCTCTTGCCCTCTTGCCCGCTCCGTCTCGAGCTGTGAAAGGGCCCGGTGCAGCGGCCACTCTGGCTTGTGGGGGTGGCCCGCTGCCCTGGGCGGCCCGAATTACTTGCCTCACAAATATCGACTCTCGACTCCTTTAGCAACCCAAAAGGGAAGGAGAAGGACACAAGCCATCTGGCCTTACTGGTTTTGACACGTGTGCTACATTTTTGAGCGAGGCAGAAGTAAACTTTGAACATCATGTTTGTCACCTCGGAATTGTGTGTGAGAACAAATCAGGCGTTGCCACTGTCCAAGGCTTTCTTTTCATTCGGACACATCCCCCGTGAATTCAGCTAGGCATCGTCAGTTTGGACTTCTCGCAAAGATTTCACGAGGTTCCTTTCAGAAAAGCCCAAGGGTTTCCCGGCTTGGTGAGCGTTTATGCCAGCCTTGCGCTCCCACTATCACTTGCCTCACAAGGTGGGCATACAATGCCATACAGTCATGTTTGTGAGACATTGTGCGGCAGGCTGCTTGCTGTGAAGCAGCACTCGTCCCCCTGGCTTGGTTGTGAACCGAGGCGTGGACAGCTTCAGATCTTGCGGACTAGCGGGCTCACGCCCAGTGCAGACAAAGACTTCTGCAGCATTCGCTTGGTGTCCTTGCGAATCGAAATGCTTCCGGAAAGTCGGGATACCAGTGCCCATCGATCACAAAGAGTGGGTTCAGGTCAACCACGGTAAAAGGAGATGCCCAAACAAAAATGGTGGGATCGTGAGGCTGAGACGGCTTAGGGCATGTGGGACAGCGCAGGTTGATGAGGGTAAGGCCGCCGAGGTGCTTTCATGTGCTTGTCGACCTCCGCTGTAGTTGACTTGGAGACGCACATGGCGGAACGCAGTACGGACATGTTGCTGCCTCAGACGCAGCGCTGTGGCAGAAGCCCTCACAATCAAACGTGTCATAACAAGTTTGTTCACGCTTTAAGATCACTTTGAAGGCGAAACCATTGCAGCTACCCACCAGCGCCCACCTGCACCAGAACCAGCACCCAAACAACACATCAGCCAGAATCGAGGGCATTGCCTATCCCGTTCATTAGAACCAGTCACCCCCTCCTTGACTATCAGTCTGGGGATTCCCCCAAAAGGACTCAAATCCAACAGTTCACGATAGAACGAAACGAACCATTCCAATAAAGAACCATAAAGGATCCCATTGACAAACTCTGCATAAATCCGGCCGCCCAAAGCCATAGTATCAACTTGGGCACTGCTGGACAAAATGACTGCTGCAGCCGGCCGTTGAACCGGAGACAGCCGCAAAAGTTCCTGGCCGTGCCAGGGTCTTAGCAGAGATAGTCAGCCGCCAAAGCTTCAAGAGATACCTGCCGCTGGCCCCTTCGGTTCAAGGACCCCTCCTGCAGAAGCATTTGCCTGCGAGTAGCAGCAAGTGATAGGATTGCCCTCTTGCGCGGCACCGCATCAACTCCAACCAACTCGCTGGCGTCTCTCATGCGGCAACTTGAACGCTTAACATCGCTTAACACTCCCAAGCAACATTTAGCTCTACATGGTAAGCCTTCTAAACGAACTCACCAAGAGGCCCATCCAGCCGGGTCTCCGAGACTCACCACTCAAATGAGGGAACCAAACGAAAGCCCAAGGCTTCGGATCAAAACTCAAACCGGAAACCACATTTTCTGCACGTTCACAAAAGAATTGACCAGAAAGGTCACGCATCCCAACCAGGAGCCTCTGCTAAAACAAATCAACACGAAAGGCCAAAAGCTCCCCCCCTCCCGAGGAAGGGGTGCAGTGCTCATGGAAAGGTTCTGGGAACTTTTCTGGCACCTGGGTTATCTGTTGGTTCATTCAGTCTGTGACCTTGGCTTTCCCTTTGTTCCACGTTCTTCTTCTTCTTCCTCTTCTGTTCTTTCTTTGTTTGTCCGTGAATTTTCCACGTTTTCAATCTATGTGTTGTTGTTGGTTTGTTGTGTTGTGCCTTGGTGCGCTTGCTTGTGTCCACCGATGCTCCGATCTTCTTTCCGATGTTCCCACACACGTCCTGCAGCTGGCCGTGGCCCTGGAAGTCGTAGTCCCCTGCGATGCCTGGAAAAGTTTGTTTGCTTCCCGTTGCAGATAAAAAGAGCCAACAGGACATCCTCAAGTGAATCTGCCGCACAGGACTCCACCTGTTCATGGGAGTTGGGGTCAGTTGTGACATCAGGGTCTTTTCACCCTAGCCCGTCCATGAGCTCAAAAGATACACCCAAATGGACCTTGAAATAATGATGCCTGAAATCCCGCAAACACGTCAGCCATTTGAAGCCTTCCCCAGCAAATCATGAAATGGTAGTCATGGCTTTGATACTGCCACTACTCCTAGTCCCACCGCTGCTCCACGATTGACAAACGCAAAGATTGAGGCAGCTTGTCCAAGCTGCACTCAAAGGCCTGAAGTTGTGGAGAACGCAAACGCACGGTGGCTCTGACAAACGCCGTGTGAACACCCTTTCTCCGGTTAGGGCGGGCAGAATTGGACTCCTACAACGAGGGGTGTTGCCATATACCCGGACTTGTCGAAATGTCCAGTAGTGCCAGGCTCTTATCAACCATAAACCCGGATGCGAGCCCCTGGGTCCTCCAGCCAGAACGCACTTACTTGTAACAACACACTTATGGGACCATGCTTGGGCCCTTTTGTGGCCGATTCCGATGACTAAGCCATGATTAACGAAAGCATAAGCCAGGGGTCCACATGTGGGCATCATCTGGGTTCCTGCATTCAGCCTTTGAAGCTTTGCCCTGATGGACGGTTTTCATCCATGGTGCGTACCCAAAACAAATGGGACCTACATACGGGCCTGAATGTTCGGTACTCAACGGAGCCACAACGCAATCATGATACATGAACATCGGATCAACACGTCGGTATGATGTGGCCCCTTAAACTTTCAGCCCACGGTGGCTGTTCGGAGCCAGCCTGCTTGCAGCTCAAGTGCCTGTGGCCGAAGGAGCGCAGTAGAGCATCAACGAATGCCCAACACCAAACCGTGCAGTGAAATCCCCTTAATTCCCCTGGCGGCGTTTGTCTTCATCCTGACAAAAATACCCGGCATAATCCCTTACTAGCCCTGTCGCAAAACAGAAAGACAAAGGGCGTTCACACCAGGCGTAAGTGCTAGCACCATGTGTACACATACAAAATTACTAGTATATGAATAATATATGTCTGTGGAAGTGTCTGTGTCTGTATGCACATGCGTGCTTCACGCCAAAACACTCTCTCTCACGCTCTCTCACGCTCTCTCCCCCTCTCTTTCTGTCTCTCCAACGTGTTTGTCTCCTCGCTGCACGGACGGCATTGACAAAGGAATCCCCTAAGTGCACTGCATGGGAGGAACCACCCCAAATTCAAACTGTCCATGTTCCGTTGCCGCAGTTTGCTGCTGTCAGCCAATGCCCAGATGCCTCTAGCGCCTTCTGGTACTCTTGGACAGCACTGTTGCTGCTGGTAGGCGATCCTGCAGAGATTCTTACCCTGATGACACGTATGATCCCTTCTTTGGATGCTCTCAAAGGCAAGGGTGCAAAAGAAAGGACCGGGGAAAGAAACAGGAAACTCTCAGGCTGGCTCAACCCTCACAACATGGCATGGCGCATGTGCTGAATGGACAAGTTCCTGAATGCTCAAGACTTGAAAATGTGCTCGTGTCTTTCATGATTTGATACATGCTTCGCAGCTTCAAACAAGACCCATTGATAAACCTCCCTGGGCAACTGGTGAATCTTACTTGCCCGAGGGGAGGAAAAGTGATCCCCCCCCTTGTCGCCTGGCTCTTCGCTCCAAGATGCTCGCGGCTCAGGGTTCAACCAGAGAAAATTGTTTGAGGATGGCCTTGGGGGAGCAAACGCCGTCTTGGAAGAACAAGTTCAATCAGCGCTGCCAGCATGGCCGCGATATACGCGGCGGTGCCTGTCTTGGCCAAACCTTCCAGCCACTGGCTAAGCTCCTTAGAAGCAGCGAAGCTTATAGCGGGCTTGCTCATCCCTGCACATGCGAGCACACAGTGACACACCGGAATTGTCTGCAGCAAAGACGGCATCCAAAGCAGCAAAGTCCAAGTTTTGGAGGATGACAAGAACAAATAACCAAGAGGAACCAAAAGGACCTGAGAAAGAGGAAAGGAAGGCACTGCACAGGATAAGGGACCCAAGGAGGGCTTTCCCCACGTCCAGTGTGCCCAGGCACCTGTGGCGTTGCGCACGGAGGTGC